AAGATACACTTTATAGATGGTTTATTTAACCAACATGCATTACAGCCAAACACCACTGTTGCTGAAAATGGAATGTTTGTAATTGCAGATTAAACGATACTACAATTATCCAAAATTCAATTTACCTAAAAATTCAAAAATAACTTGAAAATTTAGAATTTTCTAAAAAAACTCAACTTGTTAGAAATTCCAATACTCTTAATTTTCAGATATTTCCACTACCATTTCTAATGATCAGAGTATATCCATTCTTGTAATTTTAGTCATGAATACAATAGCATTTCTTCAAAAGTTTACATTTATACAAGTAGTATGTTCAAAGTATTTAGTTATTCATATGACTAATATTTATTAGTTGAACTAAGTTAGTTGTTTCATTGTAGTAAAAATCAGGAGACAAATAGTGAGCACCGCACAAACAACATTTCAAAAGCAGTTAAAAAGCTAACAAAATGTTTTATCCTATTTAGTTTAATTATAAGATTACCTTCATGTTCATTTAGAATAAATTCTATTGGGTTACTAACACCCAGTCCTGAACATCGAGGTAGCAACAGAATAACTTTTGCTTTTTGCAGTCTGTAATCTGTTGGTTCAATCTCTGTAAAATCCTCACATAGTAGCACAGTATCTGAGAAACAAGCAAACACTGAAAGCTAAGTATGAAAGCAATCCAGTAATATTTTACTGTAATAAAACTGTAATCACATTGACATTATGCAAATTTCACTAGTTAAACTCAGTCCTCAAAGGCATCTAATTCCACTTGATTTCAAATACCTTTGAGAACATGGACCTTGGCATCTGCCACAACTATATTTGCATTTGAATACTTAATCATCTCTACAGCAAGAGCCCATGACTGAATCCCACAGCCTTTTCACATTATGCCCTGGTAGTACAATTAGGAGAAAGGCTCGTCAAGAGGATTTTTAAGTTAAATTCCCAAAAATGCCTTTAGAGTCACATCTGGGATTTCTTTCTTGAGCTAACGAAATCAGATGCAACTGAAAGTAAAATGAACATATGGCCAGAAAACTGAATATAAAAACTATATTACATTGCAACAACCCCTCCTAAATTATGCAGGAACCCCAATGAATGCTGAAAGAAGCACTCTATCCCACTTTCCCTCAGGAAGTTTACTGAGGAATGCTTTCTACATCAGTCTGTCTTATGCCACAAAAAGTCTCCCTTATTTCTTAAATTAGTGGTGCTCCTCTGGCCTGCAGCCAGATCCAGCCTGCAAGGCAATGTCATCCATCCCATGGGTCACTATGCACAAAAAAATTGACACTGGGGAGAAGTGGCAGTGTTAACTGCTGTTCCCCTTCTGCCAAATTTCTAGACCTATGGGAATAAGGCTGGATGGCATGGCCTTGAGTGTGGGGGCAGGCTAGCACATGACGAGATGCAACACACTGAGCCCACGCATGGGATCTGGCCTGCAGACCTGGAAGGTTGAGCACCACTGTCTTAATTGTTTAAGAAAGTTAGATTAGTGACAATTATAACTTCATTTCAGTTGCAGAGACAGAATTCTCTGGGGCTTACGGAACAGCATTTCCAACTGGGAACCCCTAATTGACCCGTTTGCTAATAAAAATGAAGACATAAATAGGCAGATTCTATTGTTATCTATAAGGCAGAAAAATGGATTAGACAACAATCCATTTCGGCACTTAGGCAAGTGCAATTTATTCCACAGTGCTTGAATCTCTGAAAAATCCATTAATGCATCTTTTTTCTAACAACTGCCATCTTACCTTCCAGACAGGATCAACAAGCAGCAAGGAGGAGATTGAAGGGGGCTGTCCACCTTTTGCATTAACAGTTTTTCAGGGACTCAGGGCGAAACAGAATCTCACTAAGAACACTTAAACAACAAGAGAATCTGGCTCTTATGGTCTTAGGTCAGTGATTCTCAAAGCAGAGTGCCATGGCACCCCCGGGTGCTGCAAGATGCTTTTAAGCATGCCATGTGGTACTGCGCAATAGTAGCACTGTTGGGGTTGCAAACACCTACATGATTAACAAGGTAAATACAGAGATTTCAAATAGAAATCCACAGTGTCAAAAACTTCCTGGAAACTTGTGGTTTTTCTGGGTTTTCTGCAACAGAGGAATTGCACTATTCTTTCTTCTGCAGTCAAAAAATGAGTGGAAGCTAAGAGCTGGCATTTTCAAAGGGGTGCCTTGAGTCTACCAAGTTTGCGAAACAATAGTCTAGACACTGCCATGAACACGAATGAATACTGATGAATAAGAACATCTCCAGACAGTGCTAAATAACTGAAAGATTATTTTAAATATTTGTATCAAAATATAAAATGTCTTTGTGCTAACAAATAGCCACATAACAATAATCACTAAAATGTCATTATACTTAATGGCATCTGCAAATATCCATACTATAAAAGAGAAGGTTAACTCATACTTTTACAGTCCAGGCATCTGAACATGTCCTTCAGCTCAGCTCCCTTTGCCTGTGATTTTACTCCACATACAAATACTTTAGATGTGCTCTGATTTGTCAGCACTGATATATGGGCAACAGTCAACCAGGAACCCATATGAGCCACTATGATGTCGTCATCCGTGTTCAATAAGGCTTTCACAGAATGTACAGCAAGGCTGCGAGATTTATCCTAGAAGACAATGCATATTATTAGGTAATTAAATACAGCTAATTAAGAACTGATAGATTTTGGTTGCTGAATTTTAGTTCAGGCTAAATATTATTAATTTGGCTTCTCCTAGTACTGTACTTTTTCAAACTACAAAAGTGGGCTCATCCATTTCACCCAAACAGGGAAAGGGAGGGAGTCCATACAGTCAAGTATGGCTAGCTAATCATACCGAACTGTACTTTCCAAAATATAAAGCAAATTTTACATAAGTTACTGAATTAAGCAAACTATACAGTTCCAGCCTCAACGTGAGGAAGGATGAAGTTTGTCAACAGGCACAGAAGGGTAAGAGAAATGTAGAAATGTTTGCGTTACCCCCAGTGAACCCCAAAAAAGACTCAAAGCAAATTACTGTGAAAAATAAATGCTGAACAATATGCAAGATGCACCTACTGAAGGCAGTACCCTCAAAGCTTGCTATATCACATTTTCTATGACATGAAGACACATGCAATGACAGTCACGTGGCTGCACTATCCAGTTACAAAGGAGAAGCAACACCTTTCAGTTCAAACGAAAAGATATGGAGAAAGTCCTGATTAAACGCAATCTCTTTACCCTGGAGCAACATATGCTTCACTGATACAGACTTGAAGCCAGAGATCATAAACAGCCAGAAGACCTCCAAAAAGACTGAATGGGTGATCTTAAAGTTACCAGTAGATATTTTTGTAGATAAAGGTGCATCTGTGATATAGCTCAACTATTACTTCCTCCAATTTGAGGTTGCTAACACACTTTTTACATTGTAGGGAAGTATGCATTTTATTGATACATTGTTAGAAACAAATGAAACTTCATTTTCAGATGACTCTGCGAAATGACCTGGTATGACATTATAAACCTTTTTTTAGGTACCAGTGCTGTATCAACTAAACTTACCTTTCATGGTGCCATCAGAAGTCCCTAGAGGATACCGATGGCCTGGAATAGATAAAGCTGGGAGACATGTAGAACACAGATGACAAGCACTGCGCTGAACTTGACAAACTGTGACAGTTGTTTTTAATAACTTTGACAGTAGATTTGCAGGATGTGAAGAAAAGTTTCATTGCTGCCACCAGAGACTTGGCAAAGTTCTAATGAGCAGATCTTTCTGGACGTTCAAAAACTGAGTTAACCTAGGCTCATTTGCATCAGAAACAGAAGTGAGGTTCTCTCATAGGAAGATGCTTTGCTGATAAAAAAATCACTTAGATTAGGACCTAGCTATTAAACAGCCCTTCTGTTGTAGGTGAACTACATGTCTAAAGAAGCCAAATGTTTCTGGAGCTCAAGAAAGTCTCTCTTGACGTTGACAAATTCTTTTAATATCACTGCCTCCAAACTGCCTATTTTTGGAATATGTGCTAAGGTTCTGCTGAGGCAGATCCAACAAGACCTGGATTCTGCAGCTCTCCTTCACACAGGTACATCTGGCTTTCAATCTGGGAGTACCAGTTATATCAACAGTGATTTTCATCCCCAACTGGTGAAATCAGGTATCTCTTCAGATTTATTTAATAGGGCTATTAAGTGCTATTCCCCTGCTTCATATCCTAGCTAAGGTAGTCAGAGTTCCTTTAAGGCAGGGGCAGGCAAAGTCCAGCCCATGAGCTGGATCGGGCCCATGGCGGACTCCATTTCCCAGCAGCCCCTGCCCATGTTGCTGAGACACCGTCAGCAATGGGACTGTGAGAGTGCAAGGCCAGGGTTTCCATGGAGACCAACCCCAGCAGCACTGGCAGGGCACACTGCTGGGCAGGGAGCTGCTCCAGGGTCAGGGCTGGGATCCTGCAGTAGCGACAGCCTGGTCTGGAGCCAGGGCAGAACTGCAATCCGCTGTCCACACACCCCTGCTCGGAAGAACTAAGGTTGACCTTGCACTAATTAGATTCTATAGATGAAAAATGATAACAAATTGCTACTTTTCCATGTACAGAATCCAAGTATAGCAGGATTTGTCTTAAATTTGAATTCATCTTGGATTCAGGTAAATATGAATAGTGTTTCTATTCAGTGACTGTATTCAACATGCAGGTGGAACTAACATTTTCAGAAGTGGTGGTTTTGGTGCTTGCTTGGGTCATATTGTGAAAGCTTAACTTATGAACTCCCTCTCTGGAAAAAAAAAAAACAGGCCTTTTTAAGGAGTCTTAAAGTTATGTAATTGAAGATCACTTATAACTGAAAATATTGACTAGATCATTCCAGGGTTGCCAGAAAAACATCTGTACAAAGGGCTCTACCTCACCTCTGTATTATAGTATGAAGCTCTAAATAAGCTGGCGTGAGGGAATACTGGGTGCAAGTCAGGAGAAAGACCACTTAACCTACTGCAAAGTCAGTGGTCAGGAACCTTTCTACATGATGCATGGAGAGGCAGCAGTGACTATTCCACCGCAAGCATGGAACTGCAGGAAGAAAGTATTATGATGCCATTATTTATTGACTAGGAGTAAAATTTTTCAAAGCATCCAAATCAGATGCTTAAGTGGTGTTTAGGTCCCATTTTCCAAGTCATTTTTGAGGATGAGACTGGGGCACTTCTGAAACTTTTATCTGAAAACAGCTTTAAAATAAAATCTTAATTTAAACATCCTACTGATTACGCTGACTATCATTTATAAGCGTTTACATTCAAGTGTCAATATGATTCAATGATTATGGTTTTTATAAAGACAGTATCTAGGACATTTCACAAACTGTTGGCAGCTAGCTACTTTTAGCCATTTAAAATAAAGGAGGAAAAGGCATGCAACAGATTCCAAGGCACAGCATTCTCTTAGGCTAGAAATAGACATTGCTAGTGGAGCAAAACCAGCTGTGCTGGGATGCACCTCAGCACAGCTAAGCTGCTTCACTGCGAAAAACACATCACCCACTTCCCACCCCGCTGATGCTGCAAACAACAAGCGATATGTTCTCCTGGGGCTTGAGAGGCCTGGTCCTGCACACCCTGGGAATTCTTACACAACACTGGGCCCCCCAAGCCATGGGAGTGCCTGCCTGGCTTTCCCCCTTACTGAGACATGCCTCCGGGACACGTCTTTGCAAGCAGGAAAAGCCAGGCAGGTGCTTCCGGGGCTTAAAGAACCCAATCCTGCACAGGAATTCCTGGGATACACAGAATCAGACCCCTCAAACCCCTGGAAAGCAGAGGCAACTCTGGGTTTCCTGCACTGTCGCACCATAAAGTAAACAGACATCTGCTGCTAAATGCTAAATAGCAAAACAAATGGATACCACCTTTGTTGTGACCATTATTCATGGCATAACAATGGGTATGCATGTATGTTTGCTTAGCTTCTGTGCTGCCACACAAAAAAAAAAAAAATATTATGATGTTACAAAAGCAATACAAGTTGATGTCTGTTTCTACCCTTAGTTTGCAGATCAGATTAAGGAAGCTCCTACTTACTGAATTAACTCACCTGTATTAAGAGTTTGTAATCTGTGAAAAGCTCCAAGCTGAGTAGTTCTTCTTTAAGAAAGGAAGGAAACACCACCACATCCTGGCAGTGTTTGTCCAGACAATATGTATAACCCTCCAAATCTGATATAGAGTCAACTCTGGTAAATCCTTCTTTTGTTAAACTTCTATAAACTTCTTCAGGGCTGTTAATATATGTAAGAGTCATAGTAGTTATAATAAGCATTACCACTGAATATACAAAGTTAAATCTCAAGAAATCATCCAAAAACTTAGCTTTTTTGCTTCAAACATACCATAAAATTCAAAATAATCTGAGCTAGTCTGACAGCACCAAATTTACTGTTGGCATAATTTGGTTCAGTTAGATTGACTTGAATGGAATAGCACTCTACAGTGAATTTAGTGCTTAGTCTTTGGAAAAAAAGCTTGAGCAAAGATAATACACATATGCACATTTAACAAGTGTAATTCACAATATGCAGGCAGTCATGCAGACCAAGAAGTGTATACTATTTACTTAAATTTATTATTTGTGTAATTTTTTATTTGTGCCATACACTTGCACAATATACTGTAAATGGAGAGCCAACATGGCAACAATCAGTCAGGTCAACTAACATATTCAGCCTAAGTAAAGATTGCAAAATCACAACCAAAATAAGATATGTTAGCTATCCTCAAGCACTTACAATCTAAAATAGACAAGATATAAAATACATTCAAGTAAGGAAGAATATGAAAGAATTACTGGAAGGACCATTTGGTAGATCTATCACATCAGTTTCCATTACTATAAACAAAAATTAAAATTGCTATCCTGTATTGACATGCACACTACCAGAGACAGAACTTAAAGGGGTACTGTCAGCTGCATATTATGCCTTCACTCAAACTCCTCTACCAATTTTTGCAGCTTAAAAATAACATTTTTTCTATTATAAAAAAGTATTTTAAAATACTGCAGCGCACACTGCACTCCTTCTGTAACTGGATTTTCTGATAACCCTAAAGCAGGCAGGAGAACTGGCTTGTGCTGCAGCCTTCCAAGTCCAACCTTACAGCATGTCCCAGAAACAGAGGTGCACAGAACAAATGAAACTGTTCCATAGGCCTTTATTTTTAGGAGGAGCATTGGTGGGCGCAAACCAGAAAGGGCTGCAGCCCAGGCCAACTTACTTGCTTGCTTTAAGTTTATCAGCAGGGATCATGGTTTTCTCTATTTAAAAATCACAAATTCTGTTTAAAACCCCCAAAATCTAGATTTTTAGGCGATTAAAATAACCGTGATTTACTGATATATTTACAATTTAAAAAGCAATTTGGAAACCTACCAGTCCCTCAATCATTATAATAAATTCTAAATAGCTATGAATTTTGGTGTTTGATTTTCGGGTTTTTTAATCATGGAAAATCAGAGCTCCCCTGACCCCTTCACTCACCAGGACACGCGTCCAACTGTGACTGTCCCCCAGGCTGCTTTGTGGCACTGAGCAGCCCTGATATGCCAGTGCCCCTCACTCCGATGCACAGTCACCTGCCCCCAGACCCCCAGTGTGTGAGGAAGGGAGTGGGTGTGTTTGGAAAAAGTGGGGGGGGGGCACAAACAACATGGCAGGGGGGCACATGCCCCCTGAGATTTCTGAACCCACAGTGGGCCATGGAGTTACACCCAAGCCAGACCAGCTCCGGACAGGAGCTGCCTTTGTGGCCCAGCAGGCAGCACCTGGTGTCAGAGGGAGTGCCACGCCACATAATGGCTAGAAAATAGTATTTAGAGGTTTGCTTTCGGGAACCGGCTTGTAGGTAAAGTAGATATGTATTAGAACAATGGTCCAGGGCAATGGCAAGGGTTCACTGATTTCTAAAAAGCCTGTTTGTGAGTTTCCTCAAGGCTCACTGTATCTGACTGACAAGCAGCACATATAGCACTATTCCATAACATGAAATAAGGTGGCACCAGGTCAGTGCTCAGCTACAGAGCCCTTGAGATTTCCGGTTTTGGGGAAACACACAAAATTAGAAGACGACCCAGAAAGAACCGAATTAGGATGTGTACATGTGATGGGTTTGTGAAAGAAAGGAATACGCTGACAGGACAGAACATGAACAGCATGAAGACCACAGATAAACCAATCAGTGATGCCCAAAGACAGAGTCATCAGAAGGAGAAAAAGGATACAAAAGGAGGGACTTCAGAGCAGCAAAAGGCCCCCTGGGGGACCCAAGGCCACTGTGAACAGAAGACATACCACCAGCCCATCTCACCCACTCCACTGGGGGGAACAGGCCTCGGCCTCTGACCTCCAAGCTGTTGACATCTGACATTCAAGAGAGAACCTCAGAGAGTGAAGTTCATGTACTGACCAGGCACACCTTGACTCTGATGACAGCTCTTGGACTGGTAGATATAGAAGTGTTTGCGTTATTCTTATCTGTTATCACTGTGCATCAATAAAATTAGTCTATTATTGAATGGAGAGGTCATGGTCAGTCTGAGGGTTTGGGTCTGCCTGGCACATAGTATCTGGGTCATAAATCCAGTGGCAACACCATCATGAGGTGAAGCAGCAGCAGTGGCAACAGTGCAGAGTTGTGCCCCCTGCTGTTGCCGGGCAGGCAGGCGTACCTCACCTTGGCAGCTATGGCCACAGAGGCAGCTCCTGTCCAGAGCTGATCTGGCCTGGCTGCAGCCCCATGCCCCGCTGTGGACACAAAATCTCGGGGGGAGGGAGCACACATGCCCCCTTCTGCCACGTTGCCGGTGATCCCCCCTCCCCATGCATGGTTTGTGGCCCTTCCCCCTGACCAACACATGGCTTGTGGCCGTCTCTGCCCCATAGACTTACTTGGAGGGAGCTGCTTGGCCACCACATGCATGTACCCACCCCCTGCCAATGATTGCCCTCCTCTCGCTCCCCCCAAGCCCAAGCAGCCCCTTGCAGGCTGGAACTCAGCCAGCTTGCAAAGGGAAACCCACAGTTTTCCACATTTTTCTCCTTTAAAGGGGAAAGCCGTGATTTTCTCCTTGAAGAGAAAATCTGTGTTTTTCTCCATTGAAGGAGAAAATCCACATTCTTCTGAAGCAAATGGAAAATCTGGATCCCTGGTTATCAGAAAACCCTACTGTGGAAGCAGCATGTGTGCACTACAGCCCTGTGCTTGGAGCAGTTTTACTTGGCCACCACAACATCTGTATTATGATACTACTGAGGGGGTATTATGGCACCCAGTTGAGAACCACTGAACTAAGTAAACCAAAAATACAAAAGCTGTGTTTTTCCTTTAGACTCTTTCAGTTACAGTATGAACTGGTGTTAGTTGTAACACTCAAGTAAAAACTGAAGAAAGTATGAAGCTTACACGTGTATTACAAGAAGTTTGTGCCTTAGAAGGCAATCCTGAACGATGCACACTTCAAAACAAATTAGCAGAAATACAGATTACAGTTGAATACATAAAATCTAAAATTAACACATTAATATTAACTTTATCTCTCTCACCTGATTTTAAGAGCATTTATCCAAGCATACAAAGGTAAAGCAGAAGCCCTTTTTTCCTGTTTCCGTATAGTTTCTGGTAGAATATGTTCAATTGAAAGAGCATCGTGTTTAATTCGACATCTTGCCAGTGCAGCAGCCAATTTAGTCTTAAAACTACAAATATAAAATAATAGCTTTATCAAGATTTTTCATTTTAGCTTGCTATTATGCAACATTAATATTACAATGACATTTGGAAGTTACAGTGAAGCATGGATCCCATTACACTACGTACTGTGCAAAGAGTACAGGGCAGTTCCTATCCCAACTACCTTAAAATTTTCAAAACTGTTGTACAGAGATGTGACTATGCATCTTTAGGACTTTTTGGTTCTCCTAGCTCTAGTCTGGTTTTAGTTAATATTATCTTCAGGCCAATACTATACAACTTATAGAACAAAGGGGGCCTTGGTAATTGGTCAAGGAACCACTGCAATAAGATGCTACCACTTTTGGTGCTCTGAATCCCCAGGTTAGAGAGATGCCTGAATAGCACTTTTTGCTTCAGCTAGAGGAGCTCAGACACTTGTATGCTTAAGTGTTTCTCCTATTTCTAGGAGCTCCCTGGTATTGGGTCTCTCAGTTGTCTTTTGGAGGCAACCAGCTCTCCCTGCTGACTGTATAAGAAGTCTAGACAGATAACTGTGTTCCTATGAATCGTCTTCCTGTGGTCAGGCCTCATATTTTTTAGAACCGCAACACCAAAATTGGAGGCAGCCACGGTGGGGGACTGTAGCCACCACACCCTCTTTGGCTGTGCAGCACATGCTCAGTGAGTTCCTTAAGGTCTCTGGCTCATCAGCACAGCTTCCAGGTGCTGCTGAACTGGTGCAGCTCCAAAAACCAGAAAGATAAATGCTTCCCTTTTCCCCTGCCCTGGAAAATGGCAGCAGCCAAGGTGAAAGGCAGGAAGGGTAGCAATGTGTACTCCCTGGCCTCTGCTGGTAGCTGCACTAACAAGCTGGTGAGCTCAAATTGCTCACTGCACATTGACCACACAACCAAAGTGGGTGGTGCTTTCCCCCTCTCCACTTGGATCCAACCATGGTGGCAGCTAAGAGAACAATTTGGATTTTGCACTAAGTGACTTGCCCAAATGAATGGTTCAAGAAGTGGTGACTCTAATATGAAATAGAATGAAGCCACTGGCCTGTCATAGCTTCTATTTCAAACTTTTACATTAGAAGTTAGTTTTAAATGCAACAGAAAGGCCCACAGACAGATGTACACATAGCAATGGAGTTTCTTTGGAAACAGGAAAAAGGAGCCCTCAAAATTGAGAGAATGCAAATAAATATTGTTATTAAATGTTTTCTAAGCAGTCAAGCAAAACAGTTTATAACCTTTTCTTACTGTTATCCTTTCATTTCTAGTAAGAACTTTTCATAGTGAATTTATAGAAATCCCTACATTTTTAAATGAAAAAAAAACCCACGAAACAAAACAGGGAATCCTATTTTCACTGGTTAATGACACTCATCCACCTTTTCTCAGAAAACTGGACCCACAGAAAATACCAGGAAGTTATGTTCTGCAGGAGTGCTTAATTATTACAGCATGCAGTGTTGGAAGCAAGCACAGAGGTCTTGCAGTTTATTTGCAAATGGGTACCATGACCATGCATACAAGTCACACAAGTGCTACTGCAGCTGTGAAGCAGTTTCACTTTTGATCTGTGGTCTAGTGAAGTGGGAAGATAGAGTCCTTGTCCTTCCCACCCACAGCCCCAGAGCATAAGGCCCCATGAATCAGGCTGAGGAGGGAGCAAGATTAACTTAAGTGACATCTGCTCAACCATGTGTGCTAATATGCATCACTTAGTGTCATTCAGAGGGGTACCTGACCTGGTTTATCTTCATTAACCATGGAGGCTGATCACAAGACCAATGCGCTTTACTTAAAAGAAAAGACTGAAGAGGGAATTATGTTAGCACTATTTTAAAGGTTTTTATTTTATGTTCTGCTATTTTTATTGTAAGACTTGCCTAATTGGCACTACTGGGGGACCTGCAGCTGCCCAGAAAAAAATCCCTTGAGGGCCAGATCTGGTCTGTAAGCCATATTTTGCCCATCACAGATCTAAATTAACCTGTTTACTGAATGCTGAGGTAATATTTCTTCATGTTGTTGGCTTCAGTGTGATAATATTTATAATTTTTTTCCATTGGATTAAAGAAAAAATATATTAACTTCTCATTTTTTTAAAAGTATTCTACCATTAGCATGTGATTTTAATTAGGTACGAGTTTCTTCTTCTTTAGGAAACTGGAAGCTTCTTTCAAACTAAATTAGTTTTTAAAAAGTCAACAAATTATATCAGAATGGGCATTTTAAAAAATACTCACAACTGGAACTGCTATCATTTAGAGGTGCACTGATATATCGGTCCAACATCAGATCAGTACCAATATAAAGAAAATGGTCTATATCAGATATCGGCCCGATGGGGCCAATAATCTGGCAGATAAATGCCCGTGTTGCACGCAGCCACAAAGCAGCACAAAGCAGAGCCGGCTGCATGGAGAGCTGCCTCCAGCTGGTAAGTTGGAAGGGGAGGGAAGGTGCGTGAGGGGACAGATCAACATCCCCCACGATGAGGGAGGGAGTGGATAGGGGCAGTCGCTGCTCAGCCAGGGCAGGGGGTAGTGCATGCCAGAGGTGCAGCTGGTGGGGTGGGGGCAGTTCCTGCTGCTGCTTGCACCCGGGGAGGGCAGGGGCAGAGGGGTGTGTGCCCCAGATCTGTGTGGCACTGGGTGGGCTGCAGCTGCACGGCAGAGCTGGAGCCAGCGCTGTGCGGGGCTTTTCTTGCTGGGGGCTGGGCTCGGAGTGGGCTCCGGAGGCACTGGGAGGAGGCTGTAGCCAACCCAAATTTTACCACAGTTCTGTTCCCAGCCCCACCCTGCTGCCCACCACCCAGCGCAGCCCCAGCTTCTCCCAGCACTTGGGTGGAGGAAGGGTGTTCAGCACTGTCCCATGCCACCCCCCACCCCAGCTGTGCAGTGCCTGCCCCTGCCCCC